GAAGCACATTTTTTTCTGGGTAACTCCCCTCTCTTTGTTGTGCAAATTTTCAAAGTAACTCTCGCCTCCCTTTGTTGCACATTGGTGCAGCGCTCTCAACTCCATGCACTGTGGGGCCCGCCTGCATGATTGCACACTCAACCAGGCAGTCCCTGCAAGTTTCCCGTCAGTCTTAGGCAAGGACCCCACCCACTGCAGTGCGGATGGAAAAGACGTTTGGCCACGAAAAGAGGGCAAGTCATTTTGGAAAGTCGGAAAGTAAGTACTTTTTCCGGGACCCCATTGCAAGAGAGCCAAATGCACATTTCGGAAATTTAAACCCTTCGAAAATCAGTTGAGCCAAGGCAAGTCATTTTGGAAAGTCAAGAAGTATTTTTTCCGGGACCCCATCGCAGAGGACCAAATGCGTATTTTAGAAATTTAAACCCTTTGGAAATCAGTGGAGCCAATCGTTGCCTGTTTCCGTTGGCACTCATTTGTTTTGTTCTTTTTTCTTTTCTTTTTTGGTGGCACTCTTCATCTCTATTGGCTGCTGCCTCCCGTGCGAGACTTTTCCAGGAACGACATGCCCTCCATGCTACCCTCTAGAGTTGGCACAAAATTGCGGGGAGGAATCCTCCCGTGAGACTTTTCAAGGCCGGGGACTATGTGAAAACACAAAACGATATTTTTCCAAGCCGCACTCTACGGTCTGTGGGGTCCTGGAAAAGGGTTTGCCGAAGAAATTTCATCTTTTCCAGGACATTTGCGGCAGGCAGTGGGGTCCTGGAAACAGTTTTGCGGCGAAGTTTTTCCTTTCCGCGGTCCTGTGGGGTCCTTGCCTTACTCATCCCTGGTCGGCTCCTCAACAGAGTACACGGAACATGCTGGACCGCCATCACAACAGATAACTGGCACTCCTCATCTCAGGAATCAGACGCCCTAAGAGGAACGGTGACCGTCTACCTATTATCATTGGGCATGGGTTCAGAATCCCACCGCCCACCTTCTTTCATTTTACTCCGCTTCTCCTCTAAAGATCTCAAGACGCAACCCTGGCAATCCTCACATCTTCCTCTCTTTGTTTTGAAGTTGAACTCCTGGCGTACTAAAAAGAATTGCATAAATAGGTTAAAAATTTTCAAAAATACCATATTAAAAAGAATTGCATAAATAGGTAAAAAATACCATATTCTTTTTTTTTTTCTTGTTTTTAAAAGGCTAATTCTTTAAGCCCAACCAATTCACTTACCTGTCAAATCTGGACAGGACGGCCTTTCAGGCCTTTTTTATTGTCATTATAGTATTACGGGGAACCCCGTAGCAGCCACATCCGTGCTCAAGCCTCCAACGAGGGAACATGAGGGAGCTGCACCCACCAACAGGTGCGATACCTGCTACAGCAGGTGGGCGATACCGGCCAGGGGTCAGCCGGTAGCATCAGGACCGAGCTTCTTCGATGGGCCAGTCACTGTGCCTCCCCTCCGGTCCCCTCCCCCTTATGAACATCAGCAGTCTCTGCTCATATTCTGACACTATGAGAGCTGGAAGAGTAACAAAAAATCAGGTAAAAAAATGATCTGCCATTGGATGCATCCGATCGATCCACTGGCTGACTGGAGAAAAGGCTTTTTGTCAAGCGGCTTTTGATGCGCCCTAGACTATTGAACAACTCTCGGTCTATCCTATCCCACTGTCAGTGGGGCCACTGCTCAAAAGAGACCATGCATGGCGGTTTTCGGTTTCAAGTGCTTGCTATTCATCTTTTCTTCCTTTCCTCAATTTCTCACCTCCCTCCCTCCCCCAATCCCCCTTTTCCTTTCATGAAGGGAGCAAGGGCCCAAACATTGCTTTCTCCATCTGATTCAGTTAGAATTCAGACATGATCTCCCTCGACGACCTGCACCCCTTTTTTTCTCGCAATGGGGGTAAGACCCTTACACTCTCCATGTGATTCCATCAGAATGCAGACATGATACTGTTTACTAACAGTTGCCTGTACGGTTCGGCCACTTGGCTGGGACATTTCCCCTTTCTGTCCCTCCGCCTAAAACCACCAGTGCACCTGGGCCTGGAGGCGCTGCACTGTGTGCCAAGCTTTTCCGAACACCCAGACAGATCTCCCTCCGCTTTAAACCGCCAGCTGCACTGCTCACCGGCACCTACCGGCCGAATAGAAGGCCGTTCGGAGTATTTAAGGGAATCCCCGAGCAGGTAAAAGGAGCCTTCGTCGCAAGAGGTTAGGCCGACAGGCTGCTGGGCGGTCAGTGTAAGCCGCTGCATTAGCGGGAGGAGTGGCAGTAGCTGGCTGTGAGAGGGGCAGCCATAGCTGGGCTACGAGACAAGGATGTCACCAGGCTGTTCTAGCCACGGAAGGGCAGCATATAGTATCAGACCAGCGGCAGCCACGGTCAAGGAAGAAGACCGGGGCCATATCCACAGGTTGGGGAGTGAGAAAGACAAGAATGTGGCGCTAGAGGGATAGATCTTGGGGGAGGAGGAGCACCATGGACAAATGAAGAGTGACGAGGTACTTAGCCTGGCCGAAGTAGAGAACGGCTCCAGCAAGGTACATTTGAAGCGGCATGGCACATTGGCGGCGTGACACTGCGTAGAATACGATAAGAGTAGAGGATCGAGTGGGTGGTCACTTGAGCTGGTGCACGGGCCAGCGAGGGCAGAGAAGAGGATACTCAGAGCAGGGCACATCTGGGACAGAGAACTATTATTGTTGGCATTTTAATTCAATGCTGGAGGCGTGAAGAGTGGCTTTCATCATCAAATGTACCCCCCTTGCGAGGTGGGGCCAAGAAGAGGATACTCAGAGCAGGGCACATCTGGGACAGAGAGGCCAATGACTCGCATCTCCCCTTGCATATCAAAAAGCCCGACTACGGTACTGCCGTCATCCTGCAAAGGCATTACAGAATCTGACAGACAGGATCCCCCTGCACTGGATCCGCATCTTCAACAGGGTGAAGTCGGCCTGCCAATCCCCATGTTGCCGTGTGCATGTTGGTCAGCGAGAGATCGTGGTGCTTTCTCCATGCAGGTTCCGTGCATACTTATGTTATAGACAATAATAAAACATGGGTTTGCGAGCAATTCCGGAGGGAGATGCCCCTGCAAGGCTGCTGACACTTGAGGTAAGTACACAGAAGGGATTGAGCGGAAGATATGGTGAGCGGGATTGGCCATCTGACGAGCCGACTGAGGAATCGAAAGCCCTGCCCCGTGGTAACCACGCCAGTCGCAAAACGTGGGTGATGATTTTTCTTTCCAAGGATAGACTCCGTGACACTAACTCAGAGATTCCCTGCTTTTCTTTCCCTTCAATTCTTCTTCAATACCTGTTCGGCGACTGTTATGTCCCACACACATGGCATGGCATGGCATGTGTGCGCATTCCCAGCCACACACAGATTCGCTTCTCATCTTCCGTCATATCCCGTCGGACTCTGCCGTCCACCTCCTGCAAGAGACGAGCTGCACAGCCTTCTCGACCCCACAAGCAAGCAGTGGAAAGGAGGGCAAGGCACATACTGAGAAGTAAGTAAGTTTAGCGGGAGGAGAGGATAGAACCGTCTTCCTGCTACCAGACTGCGCTACACCTTGTTATGTTCAATTGGTAATTCAACTAGCTGACTAACTAAGATTGGATTGACTGGAACTGGTAAACTCATTGTTGTAGGTTCAAATCCTACATTCCAGAAATTACGCCATAATAAAAAAACAGAGTTTGATCCTGGCTCAGAATGAACGCTAGCGATATGCTTAACACATGCAAGTCTAATTGTTTTCTCACTTGAGGGCAAGGCACATACTGAGAAGTAAGTTCAGCGGGAGGAGAGGATAGAACCGTCTTCCTGCAGAATAGCCAACAACAAACATGGACCAACAGGAAGAACGTTGGCACGTACCGAGGGTTAAGTTCGCCAGCAGAGGAAGAGAGTCTTCCTAGAAAGAACAGCCGCTGCAGTAGATCATAAAATTGGAGGAACACCAGGCAGAGATCGGCGCTTCAGATTCTTACAAATCCACCACTACAATCTGGAAAAAAAACAGCCAGCCCACTGACCGGTCAGGGGGGGGGGGGAGAAGAGGAAAAGGGGGGGAAAGGAGACGAAGGGGTAACCAGGAAGCTAGTAAATGGTGGTGCCAGTTTGCGCAACTCGGTCGTGCACAAGAGGAACCCCCCCGAGTTCATACAAAGGCCACTGGTACGCACCAGCCAAACTAGAAAAACCAGTCCTTTGCACAATCAACGCAGACACTGGTTCTTAATCTGGCTGCTTGGTACAAGTAACTGAAATGAACCAGCCTCTGGTACGGTCCACAACCACAAAGAGTTAAACAATTTGCGCCACTAATGACCAGAGTTCTGAACACGTCTGGGAAATTTAGCAGAGGCCCTGCACAAGGATTGTCCATGACAGTTTCATGGATGCCAGGAGAATTGCGAAAAGAGGCGTTAGAGATGGACAAGGGAGAATGAAACCTGGAGAACACGGAAGAGAGACCGACAAGGGAGAAAACGCAGGGGAAAACCAACAACAAGAGAACGAGACAAAGAGTCGAGGAATGTAAAAGAGAAGGAACCATGATTATAACAAAACCGAGAGAGAGAGAGAGACGGAGAGAGGGAGAGAGAGGGAGAGAGAAGAGAGATAGACTTAATGATTACCCAGTAGGAACACGACAATGAACATACAAAGAAAGAGGTAAAAAAAGACAGTTGCGGATCTCAAAGGGAAGCGAGACAGCGAGAGAGACAGAGAGACGGAGGGAACAGAAGACGACCGAGAGAAATCAACGCGACATCCACACACAAGTACAAGAAAGCACACAACAACATAACAACGCAAAGGTTAACACACACACACAGGAGAGAGAGAGAGAGAGAGAGAGAGAGAGAGGAGAAGAAAAGAAAAGAAAGAGATGGAATAATTGAAATATTTATTCATAGGACAATTCAGAGCGGAGAATATAACCAAACAACTCTGATAGAGTGAGAGGAAGAAAGCCTTGGTGGTGATTCATTGGGGGGGACGGGGAGGGGGGGAGCAAGGAAGTAGGCCAAGGAAGGAGGGGGCAAAGAGACATCGCAATAGAATAGACGGTTTACAACAAGCCCACCACCATCATGCACGCTAACTACTTTATGAACTGAGATTACCTCCCTCTCTCTCTCTCTCTCTCTTCTGTTCGTATTCACACACATAATTCACAGTAGATGACACCCGCTCTTACACACCGCAGGAAAACAAAAACAACTCACCCTGCTCATGTTGCACAAAAACAATGATCCGTATTCACTGTTGTTGTCAAGTCCAATGGCTATTCTCCTCAGGCTCCCGCAACCTCTTCTCGCCTCGAAACTTCCGAGAAACCCATCTCTTCCCTTTTGTCGTACGATCGATCATCGGATCGATCCTCAAGAAATGACCGCCAGAATCAAAAAAAGTCTACTACTCAATTCCGTGCGCGAGGATGTCGACAAGGGACTCAACAGTTTCGTCTTCAACGACAACTTGCGGAAGTTTCTCTACTGTCAAAGTCCACAATGGCTATTCTCCTCAGACTGCCCCAACCTCTTCTCGCCTCGAAACTTCCGTGAAAAGACCCATTTGCTCATCCGTCGACCAGACGGACACATCCAGAAACGGGTAAAATTTTCATTATCCGGCCGAAGCAAAAAAAAAGAGGTTATAATCGATTACTACACTCTGCGCGAGGAAGTCGACAAGAGACCCGACAGTATATATAAATGACAACAACATGTTTCGTTCCGGTATGGTCAAGTCCCATGGCTAAAATCTCCTCAGGCTGCGTGACCTCTTTCCTCGCCTCGCAACTTCCGATCTGAAAATCCCATTCTTTGTCCCCCTTCCGTCGACCGATCAATCATATCGAGAGAGAAATGGGTAAATTTTCTATTTTATCCGGCAGAAAGAAGGTTATTATTAATAAATTCGGTGTGAGGACGTCGACAAGAGACTCGACAGTTCCAACCAATGACAATTCGACACTACGACTCCGAAAGGGGAGTGGGAGTAAAACAGCAAAAGTAGAGAAAAAAAGAAGAGAAAACAATGCCACTACCGCCATCTATATATAAGCCAGCGTTTGTCATTTCCGCGCATGACAGAGCCGCCGAAATTTCCAAAAGAGGACAACACCGTAAACCCTATCGAACACGAAAATAGAAACCCCCCCGCTCACAGCTCTACTCTTTCCTCCTCCACTACCGCTCCTCGACGACCGGACGGACGACTTCAAACCTCACGAAAATAAAATCAGATTTCAAGGAAAACAAGCAAAATCGCTGGGGGGATAGAGAATGCCACAAAGGGGAGAAAGAAGAGAGGAGGGGGCGGGGGTTTGGGGTTGGGAAAAATAAGGAGCAGGAATCATTGGGAGAAGAATACCACGAATAAGAAAAAAGACCGCACGGAGAGATACGGCCACATAAGCCGACAAACTTTCCTGCCCTACTTACCCATTCCTCTCTCTCTCTCTCTCTCTCTCTCTCTCACACACACACACACACACACACAGCTCACCATCAGCATTCCCTCTCGAACGGGTACGAGAAGGGGAGAGAAGGTGACGGATAATGAGGGCAAACACGATATCGACGTGGCTTGCGCTACGGCTTCACCGATCGGCTGAGGTGAACGGATCACACGATGACCACTTCCAATGGACGAGCGCCGAATAACTCTGTCGAACGGGTACGACTCTCTCTCTCTCTCTCTCTCTCTCTCACACACACACACAGAGCTCACCATCAGCATTCCCTCTCGAACGGGTACGAGAGAAGGGGAGAGAAGGTGACGGATAATGAGGGGAAACACGATATCCACCTGGCTTGCGTTACGGCTTTACCGATCGGCTGAGGTAAACGGATCAGGCACGATGACCACTTCCAATGGACGAGCGGCGAATAATTCTGCAGTCAGCAAGAGGCGAAAAATCGAAGAGAAAGAGCCCACTTACGCCGAGAAGAAATGTCAGATCCGGCCATTATTACTTCCATCCTCTAAAACACTGCTCGAAGAAAAAAAAAGGGATCTGATCAAAGACCACAAGAATGACGGACGAGGTCACGGATCGTTGAAGCTCATCTCATCAAAGGGATCTGATCACTAATCAATGGAAGAGCGAGAGAGAGCGAGGACGAAAGGGAAACAGAGAGATCTGGTATTACAACGAAAAACAAACGGTAAAGAAAGAAAAGAGAACGAACGGATCGAGTCGAAAAAAAGGGGAGGTCATCAATGTATTAGCAATGAGGACAACCGATAAGAAAAAGACTCAGTTACAAAGAAACACAAAGACACGCTCAATCTAGCGGTCGACCAGAGGACAAAGTCTGAAAAGAAAGCAAAGCGAACAACTTCACCTCGCTCGCGCAGACCCAACCCAAGAAAAAGCTGACCGATTAGGAGAGAGAGAAACCCGACAACACGCGCAAAAAACAGAACGCCAATCAGAAACAATAAGACAACGAGCGACAAAACGTCACCCCACCTCTTCTACCTCATCAATGAGATTACCCATCTGACTTCCAATAAAAGGGAGCCGGGGCGGGGGGGCGGGGGCCGGGGGGGCCGGGGGAAGGAGAGGAATGCTTCTTATTCATCAACAACGAGGAATACAAAAGAGTTACGATCCCGTACCTCAGGGCCAATTCTCAACCCCCCCCCCCTCCCTTGGCCAAAAAACAAAACACCCTTGAAAACGCCGTCCCGGGCGAAACGAATGTACCAGATCGATCAATAACCGCAGCAAACGTTTCTGACGACCGCTAAAACAAATAGTCACGATATAAGAAAAAAGCAACGGCACGAAATCTACCTCCAACACCCATTTAAGGTTGGTGGCCATTTGAGGAAGAACGTATAAGAACAAAAAAGCAGCGTCGTGACGTCTACCTCCCAAGGCATTTCACTTCCCTGGCGCGCAATTGCAGCGGCACGAACTCTACCTCCCATTTGAGGTTGGCGGTCATTTGAGGAACGTATAAGAACAAAAAAGCAGCGGCGCGACGTCTACCTCCCAAGACAGTTCACTTCCTTGGCGCGCAATCAGCAATTGCTCGGTGTGAGAGAGGGAGCAGCCTTGAAAAGCGCGCGCGCGAAAAATCGTGCGTTTTTCTCATATCCTTCTATCTCTCTCTTCACGTCCTCGCAGACGACAGAAATCAGTGCCACGGTGAATTTCGGATTCAAGGCAGTTCTTTCCGGAGAAAATTTCCAATTTTCGAGGCAGTTCCTTCCGACGAAGAGAGCGGTTAATTCGAACCTGTAAAAAAAAAAAAAAAAAAAAAAAAAAAAAACCAGATGGATCACAATTAAAACCCTCCGCACGCTTGTGTGGTTCTCTACTAGTAATTGCTTCTTTTTTTTTTTAACGATCAGATCGTTTAACCCCTCACTCCGACATCGAAGGAAGGACTTAACAATCCGTTCCTTAGGCAGGCCCGAACATATATAGGAGATTAATTAGAGAACAACACAACCTTGGGGCTCTCGTTCTTTCTCACATGTTTTCGCCTCACGATCGATCGATCTTCCAACCTCGACGCTCGCGGTTTTCGGGATGATATAACGAAAAAAATCACCGGCATCACAACCTAAGGATTCATGATATATGACGGAGACCAACAGCGTCGAGAGGCGATTTCTCTAAGCATTCGTCAAATTTCCCGCAAGCTGTGAGCAAAGAAAAGCCAATCAATCGCAGCTCATGCGAACAATCTTGATTGCGTGAGCGAGAGAGATGGGAAGAATGTTGATTGCGCGAGCGAGAGAGATGTGGGAAGAATGTTGATTGCAGCGACCGAGAGAGACGGGCGCGCGGAGAGTAGGGATCACTATCGACGACAATCAACAGAGTGGAGTAACGATCGGATTGAAGAAGACAAAGTCAGCGAATCACGCAGCTTCCTACTTCATTTCACTGCGCGCCGAATATCCATACAAATCAACGGACTATGCAATCAACTCGCTGACGTAATCTCCACAACAACAACAACAACAACAACAAACGACACGCTGCTGCTATTTCAGAGGAACGAGAGAGACGGCCAGAAAGACGGGTCACGACGACGAAAATTGGATAAGATAGATGAAAAACGTTATTACACTCCTCATCTCCGCTCATTATCCTCAGAACAGAAAATTACTGACCCAAAAACAGAAAAAAAAACACATCGATCGGCAGCGCAGACGAAGACAGCGAACGATGTTAGCCGAAAATCGACGAACTACGCACCTGACATTTCATCACTTCGCTACTCGATCAATCAATCAATCAGTCAACCAACCAATCAATCAATCAATCAACCAACCAATCAACCAACCAACCAATCAATCAACCAATCAATCAATCAATCAACCAATCAATCAATGAATTGATCAGTTACTGTAATAAGCAAAAACCCTGAGAAGCACTAACAGAGGGCGCTGCTAATTACCCCAGAGATGTCGACGACCACATTACAAGAGAGAGAGAGAGAGAGAGAGAATAGATCCTCACCAAGTTTTAAATCAACGATTATAAAGAAAAAAAACGAAGGCAGCCACATTGATGGCCAAAGGAAAAAGATCGACTGACCACACCACCGCCCAGCTTGCTCTCGGCATTTGATCCCTCTGCTGCTGCCCCTTCAACGCGACGAGTCGATCAATCCCCCCAATCAAGGAGACGGAAGAAGCTGCGCTGGCTGATAACCCGAGACAACGGATAAGGCGGCCGGTGCTGGACCAATGTCGATGGACGGCGAACGGGATCCCAACAGGTATTATTATCAGACGTCGCAGCTTATCGGAGTAGCATATTCCTTCCTTATCTATATCCCAGCAATTACTCACGGACAACAGACTTGCTGCTAATCGTTAATAGCTCAGATCCCTTATGCCATGGATACTGACGATGCCTATCGCAGTTGGAAAACTATCGTAGAAGACAAAGAATTGTGAATGGGAAAGGGCGGGGGAATGGAATTAAAGCGGGAGCATGGTAGAGGATACACAGCAGCAGATGAGAATGAAGAGCAGGGACAAAATTAAGAAAAGGGGGGGGGGGGGGGGGAAGGGGGGAGAGCGAGGGGAGGGGAGAACAAAAAGAGAAGAAAAAACGATTGGCGACGGAGGCATTCTGCAGATCGTAAAAAAACGACACCAGCTGCATCAAATAGAAAACGGAACGACTCACGGCTGAACTGAATTGGTGGTCCATCTGTATTCGACAGACACTGAGCAAGCTGATTTGAAGCTAATCAACGACGGAAGCGGCGATGACGGACACGTGGCAATAATAGATCGATATAAATCAACGGTCGCTACAGGAGATGACCATTTAAAAAAGAAAAAAAACCGGAAAGGGTTTTCAACAACAGTTTCCAAACGCAAACGACAATGACGAAGACCGACAAGACCAAGTCGAAGAAAAAACGAAGAAAGGATTCACTGCTGATTAGGGGTGCGGAAGTTATATTTTATATACTGTACGTTTCATAAAGAACAGATCTCACCGTACGACGCAAACCCACCCATTTCTGCCCCGACATCTGTCGCCGAAATACTCGGGCTGATCGACCACCCGCACCGGTATCTTGGGCACCCTGGCTTGCTTGAACACCCATAATCTTCGATTATCCAGACTCCAATAATTACCTTTCCGACTGGTGACGACCCGAATTGGCGGGAAATCGTTCGGGGTCAGATAGCCGTACTGAAGATCTCGGACCGCATCATACAAGCTCCTGCCGTTTCGAAAGCGTGAGCTAATCACCTCCTGTGTGTACCGGATATCTCTAGGGTCGATTTCGAGTTCCCTCTCCTCTTCACACCCGTCTCCCTCCGCTGCACCCGCCGCCACTCCAGGGGGAATGCTTGCAGCGGCCCCGGGAGGAGTCATCATCGACGACGTCGCCGGTGTCGGGGATGCCAAGTCTTTGGCAGACATCATCAACGACGATGGAACACCTGCCGGGGGCCCCGCCAGCATCCCCGCGGGCGATGGTGGCGGCAAATGCGCCGCCGCCACGTGTCCCATCGACGTCGATCTGAAGTTCATCAACGGACGGGAATGAAGAGTCAGAGGAGATCGAATAGCACCCATCGGAGAATCACACCCACCTCCTCCTCCTCCTATTCCATCCATCGTCCCGCGAACACCAATCATCATCATGGGTTTGGGTTTGCGAAGGGAGGGCGGCTGCGTCTGCGGCGCCGGCGACCACCTGCTATCCCCCCCGCCGGCACCTCCAACGCCGACCGGGCCATCTTCCTCGTCACTCGACGCACCGACACCTCCATCGACCGCCCCCTCTCCTCGACCGCCGCCATCTCTGTCCCCTCCTCCCGCCGCGGAGCTATCGATCTTGATCTCCCGCGCAAATTCTTCGGTGTAACTCCACTCCTGAAACCCATCCTCAAACTCCACGAAGTACGACTGATTGTCATCGGGTGACAGAGTGAGGAACTTCACCTCGACATTCTGACGCAGCGCATCGTTAAGGTACTTGGGAAGACCCATCCAGCTGAACTGCCCGTCCTCGAAGATCACGAACCAACCCCCGGAGCTGCTGATGGCCAGCGATTTGACCGCCGGCAGGGATTTCTGACGACCGATCAATTTGTTGTGAAGACTACGCGGGAGTCCATCCCAGGCGGTGGATCCGTCCTCGAAAATGACGAAGTAGCCGTCGCCCGGTCCGAAAACGACCTTCGACACCGTGTCCTCGCGCAACCACCTGTCCAACTTCTCGTTCTCCGTCTCCCATCTATACGTCTTATCTTCGAATCGGACGAACCAGGAGCATGAGCGAGAGTCTGACATGGCGAGGTATTCCACGCCGGGAAGAGATTTCTTACGCCCGTTAAGTTTGTTGTGGAGAGACGTGGGGAACCCGGACCACGCCTGGGAGCCATCCTCGTATAGTACAAACCATGCCGCACTCTGAGCCGGTCGCCCAAACGCCACGTGTTTAATGCCGACAGACATCCTCTTATCTACTACCTATCGTCTCCCCAAAAACCCAGACAGAGAGACAGAGAGTGAGAATCCCACACTCTGCTACCCAGAAAACGCAACAAACCCTTCACCTCGACCTTCTGCAACAATTTATCGTACGTATATGCTGCTATCTCACCTGCTCATAGCCCAAAAACACGAGTGGAATTAGTGAGACGATGCCAAAGTCCTGCCCCCCGTCGCTCGTAAGCATGTCCTACCCTTCGATCCGGCATGCCGCGTAGTCGCCGCATCGTCCCCCGTGAGCCCGTGCCCCATCATCTCCCCAGTCAAGCGATCTTCCGCAGTAAATGCATCCTGGATGGCAGTTCGTTCTCAGGAATAGCTGTAGTAGCTGTCCACGAGCACAAGCATTCACTGATGCCGATACGACTGTGGCGTTCTCGGATTGGCGGGATCTGCGGGAGACTATGGACGGCGGGATTAGACCACGTTGCAAAGACTGTCGTCCTGATGGGAAGGGCTTGTGCTGAATGCTGCAGCGGTGAGGGCAGCGGCGACCCGACACGTCGCCGAACTGGACTCGGCTCCGCGTTCAGACAAACCACATGCCAGGAGAAAATAGGCGTCTGGTGTAGAACAAAGGGCCTCGCTTCACCGCTCTCCATCCCACGCACAAATCGAAAGAATCAGCGTCGCGAGGCGCGGGTGACCAGCAGATCGAAGGCTCGGGCACCGCGAGGGAGGGCGCGCCAGCTTGGAGGGTGCCCGACGGTACGGGATGGGCCCAGTGAAGGACCAAGGGTGCAGGCCTGGAGAGCCCAACCGGAAGAGGAGTGGATGGGTTGCTAGGGGTATACGCTACGGGCCACGCTTGCTCACACGAGTATAAATCACCTCTTACCTCCCTCCCCTTCGACCCGGACAAGTGGGAAGGCAGGCTAACGCCCTCGAAGTATGGCAGGCTAACGCCATCAAAATATGGCAGACTAACGCCCTCAAGGCATGGGCGTCCATAGACACTCCTGCCATTCCAAGGATTCCTGCCATTCCAAGGATTCTGTGGAGGACATGTGTCGGAGAGAAAAGTGAAAAAGTGAAAACACTTTGAGGACGAATCCTTGGGATCGGCGGATTTCCCAGCCATTCGTCCTCGGCTCCAAGGGACCTCGCGAGGTCACTTGGAGCCTGAGGATCTGGGATTGACGGGGTGTCGGCGTCGAGCCTCAAAGGGAAATTTGAGGCCATAGGTGGTCCAGTCGTTGTCTAGTGGCCGTAGGACGGACATCCTGGCCCGGTAGCACTGTGGACGTCTTGCAACGGCCTCCAGAGTTTACCGTTGATGGCGATTCACGGCCTGATGTATGGGTATCCCCAAGTGGCTACTCCGGGGTTGGCGTTGACGTGTGGGCATCTTCAGGCGGCTCCTCGGGGGTTCGTGGCAATTCCGGCAGGCTTCCCAATGCTCTGAAGTTGGGATTTTCTAGCTGTGTTGTTGGTCCCTCCGTGGATGATAGTACTCTCCTTTGCGTGTTTCGGAATGCCGTGTGTCGCCACCATCTGCAGATGCAACAAGCCACATGTCTGCGTTGTCTCGTGTTTGGTGTCGTTCATGGCTGACTTGCATTGCAGGTTGTCGCTACTGTTGTTGATCATGTTCCACTTGTTTTCCTGGGGCGACTTCGAGCGAGGAAACAAAATAGGCGGTCATCGAAGAAGGCGAGGAAGATGGAGAACTGTCGTACGAATAGCACGCTGCCAGCAAGGCCGAAGGGATCTTCACAACAGCGATGCGCTCCCGTGAATGATCACAGGCGCTTGCAGGACCCGTGATGTACTATTACCTGACATCGCACGAGATTCCATTGCCTCCGAGCGATGATAACGACGAGGAACATCGATCTTCAATGGTTCCTTTGGGCATCAGATCGACATATGATTGGATGGGAAGCCAATTCTTCAAACGACAACCAACACTGATACGTTCTCAAGGCTGCTACAAAGAGGCGTAGGGGTTTACAAAGATGTCGAACCCATCGATTTGAGCTTCGAATTGGGTAGTGGGAGTGATTCGATGGTGACACACATCGTGATTGTCAATCCAACAGCAACTCATATCCTAGAGCAGTCGTCTATGAGGGTGGGGCGGGGTGGCGAGATCCGTACATGGTGCTCACGTGCATTCGCTGTCCAACGTGGATTTGTATCGCCGATGCGCGAGAGAAGGTTAACAACAGTCGTATTTTTCATCACCACTTCAAGACACCTTTCACCACTTCACGATGCAGCCTGCCTAAACATGTGGTTTTCAGGGTCTTCAGACCTTTCACCACTTCAGGACACCCTTCACCACTTCAGGTTGCAGCCTGCCTAAACAGGTGGTTTTTAGGGTCTTCGGACCTTTCACCACTTCATAACTATTCAGGATTTTCAAACTGCCCAAAACTCTCACTTCACCACTTCAGGATGCAGCCTGCCTAAACAGGTGGTTTTCAGGGTCTTCGAACCTTTCACCACTTCATGACCATTCAGGATTTTCAGACTTCCCAAGACTCTCACTTCAAAATTTCCATTCCTGAATTTTCAGCTACCCGTTAACCGCTTGTGAGATGCGCATGGGGGGGAGCAATGTAAGTAGAGACGCTTCAAGGTCGAAGATGCCGGTGTTGTCAGCTTGTTATTTGACGATGCCGACGATGCAATTGTCGGACAACAAGAGGACGAAGACTACACCACCATAGAGGTGGATGACCATTGACAACAAATGCGGCAAGCCAACGCTTCCACCATAACCAAGGGGGGTTTTAGGGTCTTCGGACCTTTCACCACTTCGGGACACCCTTCACCACTTCAGGATGCAGCCTGCCTAAACAGGTGGTTTTTACGGTCTTCGGACCTTTCACCACTTCATGACTATTCAGGATTTTCAAATTGCCCAAAACTCTCACTTCACCACTTCAGGATGCAGTCTGCCTAAACAAGTGGTTTTCAGGGTCTTCGAACCTTTCACCACTTCATGACTATTCAAGATTTTCAGACTTTCCAAAACTCTCACTTCAAAATTTTCATTCCTGAATTTTCAGCTACCCGTTAACCGCTTGTGAGATGCGCATGGTGGGGAGCAAGGTAAGTAGAGACGCTTCAAGGTCGAAGATGCCGCTGTTGTCAGCTTGTTGTTTGACGATGTCGACGATACAATCGTCGGACAACAAGAGGACGAAGACTACACCACCATAGAGGTGGATGACCATCGACAACAAACGCGGCAAGCCAACGCTTCCATCATAACCAAGGGGGTTGCAAATGTATACGTGGGAAGAGACGATACGTACATAGACCGCGAGTCGGCGGGGGACTAAGACGTTCAACTCCAGGACAATGGCAATGGTGAAGACAAGGAGGAGGAAATGGAGATTCGTCGTCATATGGGAAAGATGACAGTTGACACCAGCGACAAAAATAAGAAGGGGAAACTACGCACGACATGACGAGGCAAAAAGGTTGCAAAGGAGACGGGCATAACCGAGACAGCGAAAAGCAGGAATTTCTTGACCGTGGAGCACATGGTTGCTCTCGTTTGCGAGAAAAAAGACCACGATGTGCATTTCACGGGGATAGGCCACAACTATGGACAAATGAGGACAAAGACGTGGAGGTGGGATGATGTAGAAAAAAGACTTGTACAAATGGGCATGTCGAACATGAAGGGAGTGGACTGCAGGAAGAAATGAGACAACCTTTATCAACAATTCAAGGTTGTCTTTAAGTTCATGGGAGAATCAAGGAAGGATGGTTTTTTCAAGCGCACACCACAAGAGAGAAAAAATAAAAGCTTCAAGTTCGAAATAAACTGGCAGGTGTAGTAGGAGATCAAGGTCATGACGAGGGAAGATCACATCATCCACCCCACCAATGTTGCACACACGGGCGAGCGGAAAGGTGTTTAGATGCCAGGGTCAGGTGGTCATGAGGCCGATTCCATCAACAATGAGGGTGGGTGGCCAAAGGCCGAACGACTAAAAGGGCTCTACGAGGGATTCCACCTTCAACGTCGGGAGCGGTGACGGGGTCAGAAAGCGAAAGAAACTGAGACAACAGATATTCAAAGACAACATTGATGTAATGAAATAAAATGGGCATCCCATGGCATCCACAATCGACAATGCGTGCAAAAGGCAGTGCTACGTCTAAACGGGGCAGTGTGACATTCTAGAGAGGGGAAAAGATAACATTATGTGAAAGTCGATCAAGCTAACATTATAATGCGCAACGCCCTTTTGAAAATTGCAACAGTCATCCATGAAAGATCTTGATGCCCTTCTATGACCTTGTAAAAAAATTTATCGCTCTGTGATGTGTGTGGAGACGAAGGTGAAGACAATCGAAGTGTGTTCGCTATTTTTTGTAATCCTTTCATTTAAGCAGCGCGTCTCTATAGAAGTGGAATGACGACCATGGCAACCCCACATTGGATGGGGTCGCCTTCGTCCACCGTGCGAGTCGTGCACTCACGTTTCGTTTACGGTTTTAAGAGTTTGTAATCCGTGTAAAAGATCCGTTTTCGCCGCATAACGATTTGCAATGCAGTGTCGTTATCCGTCGCTTATAACAATGAATGTCATTTGTATTTTTCTATTGCCATTTACAAATTTCACATCCATGAGTTGCTCTTTTCATGAGGAATGTTTTGTTCTCCTCCCGCTTTCCCTCTCCCTTGTCTGTTATCCATCCGCCTTTTCCACACTGAGATGTGTCAATGTGTCACAAAGGTCGAAAAAATAATTTTTACTTTTGTTTAATTTTTATATTTTTATTTTTACTGTTTTACTTTTTGTTTGTCATTTTCGTCTGTCTTCATGCGATCGCGATGTCAACAGAAAAAATGCAGCCTGAAAATTATTAAATTTATCATAGGGGTGTGTGTATATAAGGTGTTTTTATAGGAATTCTTATGTGATCGTAGAACATCCGATGGAACTCAACATTGACAGATATAGATATGAGAGCCTTATGTTGGTTATATGTTGAGAATGTGTTGGTAATGTGTTGATGATCTGTTGGGAATTGAATATTTGGTGCTAACCATCTGCATATTTTATGTTTGTAAAAAAAAATAGAAGAACCACAAAAATATATATATTTTTATTCGTCACATACTACTCGTTGTATTTCGTACTCCATTCCCAACTCCCTTCACTAAAACCCACCTCTTCCCTCCTCACCCTTCTCACCCTC